AAGTGCTTCTGCCTAATGGGAGGGATGCCTTCGTGGAGGACTTTCTAGGGAAAACTGGCTCGTATACACGTTAAACATGGGAAACCAAAAAACGCCCATGCAGCCAGCCCGTTCGCGGGATATCGAACCTCGACCCGAACTACCAGTGTTTCAGCGACTTTACCACTCGGCCGCTGGTGGGCAATATAAATATTTTGTAGTTATGAACTTTATATATATATTAAATTGAGTTTATGTTCGTTATCCTTTTGTAGTGACTACAACAATGAAAATATGCTTGTTTTAGCAATTATTCCCCCTTTTCCAAATCAAGCATATTACCCTACAGCTAATATGTTCATACATGTATTTGTATTATGCACTTTAAAAATTTTACTCATATAAATTTCACAGAATGATTGAGAAAGAAATTAAGCAAATCTGGCTAATAAAGACACAACTCATGAGGACTATCTGACAAGAGAGACATCTTTGAAAAACTGTTAAGTGAAATTAGATCACATTTTTCTAAAGATGTGATACTCCAGCATTCTAGTTGACTTCACTGACTAAACTTGCTCTTTTAGGTAATCTCGAAGGAAGAAATTATGTAAGTCAATTGTAAGGGCCACACCAGAGATCTTCACTTTCTTCAAACCTACATTCTAAGAAACATGAAAATAAGACTTTTATGCAGAAGCGATCAATCCACCAGACTATTACCTAAAAAAACAAGCAGTTAATCAAGGAAACAATCAAGGCCAGTAAATCTACCACCATGAATAGGATAATCAAATAAGACAGGGGTCCACAAACTAGAGTTCGTGAGATACTGACTTTTACAAGAAGCGTAAATTAAATTGTGTGGAACTATGCAACGTTCGATAGTTGAGTTGAAAAATTGTAAATAATGACTGCAAATGGCACTACTGACATATTCTCATTTAACATAGTTTTTAAAAGCACTTCCAACAAGCGAATGTTTGTGCATAGTGCGTCGCATGTGCATGTTGATAGTTTTGCTATAGTGGTGTGCATGGTTCCTGTCAAGGTATATTTGTTCTTTCATATTTTCACTACCTACCATCACCATATCACTCTCAAAATCAAATAAGAGAAAATATTGACCTTTAATATTTTCTTTTAAAAAGCAGAATGGAGTGCCAATTATTTCGTTAAAAAAATGAATGACAAAGTTTTACGTTTAATATGCAATGGCATAATAGCAGTGCAAAAACAGCGCAATATACATTGTCAATACCAAACTAAGCATGTTACACAGTATTCAGTCCTCCCAAAAAAAAAGAAGGATCACTGAAATTGGAAAGTTTCGATTAAAGCAATATCTCACTGAAACTTGTAAGAATACGAATACGTTTGAGAGTCACTGTATGTAAAATCGCAAATCAGGTCATTATTAACAAATGACCATTTGCAAACAACTTTAATGGTAGAAAGTATTCCAGTATGATATTGTCTCAGAAAAAACAATTACATTCTTCACATCAGAAATTTTAATCTATTTAATAGCATAATTTTTTAATATGTAAATATACATCTTTTATTTTTTTTTGTTAGTAAAATATGTATTAATACTATGTACAGGTATAACTGCATAGTAAAAAAAAAAAAATTTCTGATAGAGGGAAAAAAAAAATTTTTTCCTCTATCAGAAAATTATCCATTTTTATATTTATGTTTGCTACTTGGTCCACTGAGCCTAAAATTTTCACAATCTGACCCTTTCTAAAAAACATTTGGCAACCACTGATATAACATGATATGCTCCTTTATAACGTGTTGGGATTCCATAAAGTGCATACTGAATGGCTGACATTTGCTAGAATGCCTAGTACGTGGATTTAATATAGCCAAGTAATGAAAATTTATTCCATTGTCAGTTCCTATCTTGAAAATATGATTTTATTTGCCTAAAGACGACTTACTTTTTTTAATACTTCCTTTTATTAACAGACAATTATATCTTGCATAAAAAACATACATTGCAAATGGGCTATAGTGTTACCTGGTGTTATCCAGACATATGACAACCAGCATGCACTGCTGATAGATTTGATGCTAAATTATGAGTATGTAATAACATATCTTAAACATCCTCCAAAGGTACATATTTGCCCATCTCCACTGATTTACCAAAGCATACTTCATTATGCTGCCAGTCTTGTAGAAGTAATACAATACAATAAAAATCTAATAATTTCTCATCCACTATTTCAGCATATATATTAATGACTTCCTGACAGTGCTACAAGCTTGTCATTTAGCAACAGTATTCAAAAAGGTTCAACAGCCATTTCACTTCACAGCCATTTCTGCTAGTCAGTTTTTGTTTGCAGCATAACAGATATTGAAAATAATTTTGAAAAGCATGAACTTCTTATGACTATGCTATACCAGGTAACTGCTTTCAGCATTGTGTAAACAGATCAAAGTTATAAACTATGAAGTACGGGCATACAAGTCTTCAAATTACACAACTGAAATTTAAACAGGGTTCGTAGCCACATTTTAGTTAAAAAAATAAGCACCTATAAGCACTTTTCAAGCACATTTTAAGGAAAAAAAAAAAGCACTTGTCTAATTACATCATACACAACTGCATAACCTTAAAAGAAAAATTAGACTGGTAATTTAAAAATTCAGTATTTATTAAGATTCAGTATTAATTCAGTATTTATTAAGATAGAATGAGCATTACCTCAACCATGGAAAATAATTACATTGTTTTTTTAATTTTAAATAACAGTTCAATTTACAGAACTGGTTTACAATGAGAGGGGGGAAACTATGCAGAACTACACTATATTGCAAGATTTAACGATGAAATTTCAGTTCAAAATACAGAATATTAATAATAAGCCATATTTATTATTATATTCGCTTGGCACCTAAAAATAAATACAATTTATTTTTTCACTCATATTAATATTTAAATAAGTAACTTAAATCAACTTCTGAACATTTCTAAATTTTCATTGCATAACAGCTTTCCTAACATATATTCCAAGCAAGAATTTAAGTAAAAAAAAGCGCACATTTTGAATCAGAGACGGAATTCTTCATGCATCATCCTTTACTGGAAAGCTTAATTAACCCGCTATCGGAAATTGCCGAATATTCCGGATAGTAACGGAAAAAGAGGAGTGGGGGAGATTGTAGCCGTTCTTAGATTTCGCTAAATAAATATTTTGAATTTCGATATGTGCAGATATAAAATGCCAATGACTGAAAAATATTCTGCTTAAAAGCACAGTAAATCCTTTAAGTGTTTCAAAACCCTCGACTGAACATCCAATTAATTATCTCTGCAAAATATGCAAACGTTATTGCGCAATACGTGATGCGAATCTTCCACATGTGATATTATGCAATTGGAATCACAGCTGCTGGTATTCGGAGAATAAGGAAAGAAAAGACTTAACTAATCTGGGGTCTTCTGATTCTAATTCAACAGACTGCATTTTCCGGAATAGAATACTCTTCGGTTTGGTAAACGCAAAACATTTAGTCCTAGCAATAAGATGGACAGTGACCAAAAAAAAAAAAAAGTCCGCTGCTTCATATTAAAGATTGCGGAGAAAGGGAACCTAACAACTCGTACTGTAATGTATTGGGGGAGAGGAAAATATTGACTATTCGATTACTTTCCTTTTATCAAGCCATTCCGAATATTTCCTAGAAGCTAATCTGCGTAAAAACCACCCATTTTTAGAAGTTATCTATACTTACAGCAGTTACTGCAACTATATTATTATAAATATTCATGCATATACTCATAGAAATTAAAAGTGTGTAGTTTTGGGGGGGAGGGAAAAAAAAATACCGAATGTATCGGAATTTTTACCGTTTTCCAATTCTTTGACAAATAGAACGACGTGCACCTGTCTGTACTCTCGCACGCCCATAGGTTATTATGCCAGAGAAAGGGGGGAAAAGCCAATTTCCGGGATTATGATCACCATCTGACGTGCATATAAGGAAGAAAAGTTGTTTATTTACCTTTGCGAGGGAAAAAATGGCGTTCATAAAAAAGGGAAAAAAAAACTAAAAGCAAAATAGGCACTAAAAAAAAAAATACGGGCTTTAAAAAAAAAGTAAGCCCTATAAGGCTTTATATTTATTTCAAATTAGACTTATAAGCACTTGTAAGAACCGCTACGAACCCTGTTAAAAACATATAAAAAAATTCAAATTAAGTTGAGTTACTTGTGTATTCAAGTTACGACTTAAAATTTTTTAAAATGCTTGTGTTGTTAAATGGTTTGGGAATTCTAATTAAATGGGACACACTTAAATTATCACTTCTTTGCACAAGCATTACAACAGCACTTACTAAACAACAAAACCTTGTCAGGATGGCAATGCTTTGAGAATTATGACAATTTTTGGGTGGTAATGCAGAAATTTAACTGGAGTATTGTTATATTTTGTTTACCTTGTTACATCTTTTCAAAGTATTGCATTTGATGTCAAGATCTGCATTTGCCCATAATGCTCATGCAATTTTGTTCTTAATGGAAATGGAAAAAATCCTAAATTAAGTAAAATTAGCTTATAAAGAGACTATAATTTCTGCAATCAGTTTTGCATCCCTTTCCTTAAGCACATCTCTTCATAGTTTATAACATTTCTTTAATAAACAGTGAACCATCTAAAGCTCTGTACCTAAATTATTTTGCCTATATTGCATGCTTTACAAGATGAGAACTCTTATATCCACCATCAGAGATGCTACAAACATTTCAACTCTGACAGCCCACAGTTGCTTTACTTATAAGCAACACCTATTTCTACAGCTTAAACTTCACACATTGTTAAAGAGGTGCATATTTAAAATGGAACTCAGCATACTGAAAATTGCATTTACTTTATGCAGTTTTTAAATTACAAATTATAATTAAAACACACATATTATTATTATATTTCTACACACTTTCAACATACTGATTTTGGATTTCAAATATGCAACAGATGTTTAAATATCGATAAAATATAATAACCTTTTTCTTCTTTACTTCAGGTTTTGCAGTAGGAGAATATGCTAAGTGATCTGCCACTGATATCCGCAAAACAGGTTTAAACAATGTTAGATGATACTGCCGAACTGATACAAATTCTTCCAACTGTTTGATATCATCATCAGTAATATTAACTGGTTTTGTAGAAATTTTCCCTAGAAAGAGTAAGCATTTTGAAATGTAAAAGACTATCATTACTCTAAAAGTTTTCAAATTTTTTAACATAAAACATTTTCTTGGATTAAAAACAAATGCACATGACAGAAAGAGTAGAAAATTAAAAGTGTACATAATTTTCAGCTTGGGAAGGTAGAAGAGCAAGTAACAAATGACATTACATACATACAAATTTAAGATTTTTTAGATCTTTTATGACTTAGCCAGATAAAATGCAATTTGTATACTACTCCTTATTAATGTTCACAGTTTATCAATATTATGGAAATAATAAAATATATTACAGAAAACTATGTAAATAACATTAACCTTATGCTTTTCTTAATGCATTTAATTATTGCTCTTAGGTAACAGAAGAGCAACTAGATATCATGTATGTAGGTAGCAATAATTATAAAACGTGCCACCACTGTTAAGTGTAATATAGAACAGTAGTGAGTACTGTATATTAAATGATGATTAATTGATCTTGAATTGTCTTATTTTCATCTAAGAATATGACTTGGTACAGCTAGTCAAAACATTTGGAGATATACTACTTAATATTGACTGGTAAATAACTTTAAAAGCATCCTTAAAATTGACATGACTGGAAATTATTTACAGTATATGAATCAAAATTGAAACTTCACCTCCTCGCAGGTTAAGTATGCAATTTATTTTCAGCACAAGGGACAAAGCAGCAAAGTGACATGTTTAGACTATTTAAGGTCTTAAATTAAGCATGGGTGGATTAAAACCATAAAACAGTTTCAGTTTAACCATTTGACGGGCGGTGGGACGCCAGGCATTCCACCTTTTTTATACGTTTTTATCTCCTGAATGAAAGCTGCAAAATTCTATTTAAAATACATACAATAATGCCTTTTGATTCTCTAAATATATAACAGATGGCAGCATTAGTATTCATTTATGGAAATAATGTAAAATAAAAATTCTTTCCAGCTCTAACTTTGAAGGAGTTTTTTTTTTTTTTTTTCTTAATTTCTAATGCAATTTAAATCATCTGAGCAACAACTTTTGGTGTTTGTATGAATATTTTTGTGTGGAAGTTTCCTTTTCTAATAAAAATTATATTTGAATTCATATATATTAATTAAGAACGGTTGAAACTAAAAGGTGGGACAAACACATCCCACAGCGCATGCAGGAATTGCTGCTACTAGATGGCAGCATCGTTCAAATATTTTTAAATTCAAGTATCATGTTCATTTTATATGTTGATAATGCAAATTTATATTTTTTAATAAACTGCAATACTGTTAAAACATGAAAAATATTTAGTATTTTTCCGAAAGAAATGAAAACATGACTCTGTAACACGCAATGTCATTGAATACTGAATGGATACATGAGTGGAATTGACCATAGAAAAATATCAAGCAGAGGAAGAGAGGATGAAATGTAAATAAACATGATGGCCTTCTAATATCTGCCTTTTCAAACTATAGCAAAAAAGTACTGGAAGAAGACCTCTCTGTTTCAAACTATATGAATCATTAAAAAATATCTAAAAAGTCATACAGAAAGAGATTTTTTAAAAATTATGTAATTTTTTGCCAATACGATCAATATTTTCTAGATAATTATTCAAAAACGTTTTTTATATCTTGCATTTTCATTTGGTTACTAAAACTAGCCCTTTAGATAAGCATGGAAAATTTATGCTCAGGCAAAGATGCCATTTTACTGCTCTAGATGCGTGGTAAGACAAGCAACATCTCACCATGTCATGGATTATCTTACAATCTTACTTCATACCTTTTTCTTTGGTATGAAATAACATTGTATTAAGGGCTAATTATCTACATGTAAAGTTATTTTTTCAAAAAAAAAAAAAATAAAATAAAATATGCACTGAACCTCAAAGGGTTAAAAGCCATCATAAATGAAAACCTGAAGAAATGGAAGCAAAAATTCCAGATTTTCATGATAGTGTCAAGTGGTGTTCAGCATAACTGCATGGTTGAGAGATGTGCGTGGACCTCTCAGCTCAAAGTTTTTGTGAAAGAGTGAAAGTATCGTGAACAAGCAGTGAGAGTGTGTGTTGAATGAAATCCAGGATCCTTGAATATGATTCCTCGTAGCCATATATGAGATAAAATGTGCATTAGTTGATGATGTGAATTTAAATACAGAGAATGAATACAGTTCACTGCAGAATTTTTAGATTATGTGTATGAACTAAGCTACCATCATAACAAATGGTAATATAAAACTGGCAGAAACAAAAAAATAGCCACTTTATGAAGTGCTATTAATCAAGAAGCAGAACAGAAGTTCCATACTTTTTATTTAAATGAAGAGGATAAAAAAGATATTCACAAGGTAATTGAAGCCTTAAAGAATTAAACACAAGCAAACAAAAGTACTCCTAAGCAGATTTTTCTCAAATGCAATACAGGGATAAATTATTCAGTGAGTTTTTAACCAAGTAAAAGGAACTGAGCAATAATTACAGATTTGTGGCATTAATAGATAATTTAATTCAGAACAGGTTAATAAGTGGAATTTTAAATTAAAAACCTAAAGACAGACTGTTAAGAACATTGTACAACTGTCCTGTTAAATAAAAAAATGAATTTCTAGAACTTACCTGAAACAAAAATAAATAGCAGATCAAAAACGAGAATTTTACTTGGAACTAAATATAACATGGTTGAAAATACATGAAAATGAAACACTACATGGAATACAGTCAAAAGTCGTTAATTCGGACACCCATATCCGATCTCAAGATAGAAAACTTCTGCGCCGGTGGCGGCGGTTGAAACATGCGCATAGGCATACCGCCTGCACGTAAGACTTTACGTCGCGAATATGCGTTGTGAGCAAGCGTTAAGAATCATTTTTTGGTGCGCCGTTGTATTTATAACGGACGGTATAAGCTAAAATTATCTAAATATATTTCACTCTAATTGATGATTGCATTGTTCCTTATCTTCGAATTGGATTTGGCTTATTATTTTTTTAAGACTGTAAGAGCAAATTTTTATAAAAGTAACTGACTTTCGATTATGTCAAATGAATTTCCCGAGTGGAGCTCCCAAAGGTCTACAACAAGTAGTTTCGATTCCATCAAAATAAAGTGGATCTGCTGCAAAAAATGGATTAAAGACATGACGAATTGTGACAGAGAGGTTCGTGAAATGCAAAAATTTCAATTGACAGTTCTTCTGGATTCTCGGCCCGCACTTCCGGGACCTTGCCATGCGAAACTTGTACATGAACAAGAATTTTGTCTGTTATAGCCTTAACCAAAGCATTCTCCCCTCACAGACGAACCCTTCCGCCCTTCATGCCAGCCCCGTTTCATAAAGTAAAACCTCCCATATTAGCTTTTTTTTGTCCTTGGACCTTTAGCTTATCCTGGTTCTTTTTCTTATCAATTCTGATTTTCATTTTTTAATTTTAGAATTTCATGCCCCTGGCCTTACCTCCGGATTAACCGGATAGAAAAACGCCGACGATGGTCGAATAATTATTATGATTCCCGAGAGTACACAAAAACGAACTTTGACTGTTACTATAAATAAAAAATACATGTTGGAGTTCAATACAAAGTGAAGCAAGTAGAGTTACCTGAGAATGGCAATAAAAACACTGTTTTATCAAAACCTAAAAACTAAATTGCATTTAACTTTATTTTTACTTTATATATTAAAAACAAGCTTTAAACATTTTCTTTTGTCAATAAAAAAAAAAAAAAAAAAAAAAAAAAAAATGATGAAACAAGAAAGTCAAAAAGAGTCAAATTTTTATCACAAAGAATAAATAGTCTCAGTTTGAATAGTCATTTAATCATTATGTAACTCCTCTGTTGGTATTTGTCGTATAATGATTTGGTTTTCTAGAACTTTCTCACATGTGAAAAAGCGCTTGATACCAATGTGCTTCATATATCAATGAAATTTCTGGTTTTTGCGGCAGTCTTATCTACTTGAATTACTGCAACTTCATATAACTTATTAACACTAAATAGCTGCTTTAGAATAGTCACTAGCTATAATCAGCTTGGCTTCAGTTATCAAAGTTGCAACAACTGACTGCCTTTGGCTAATTCATGATATAGCTCAACTACAATACAACATCACTACACACCACATGTAGATTTTCCTATTTGTCTATCCTCCAAAATTTCCATCTCTATACCACTCCAGAATTCCTTGTTTGTGTTTTTGTTCTTGTATGTAATATCTTTAGTAAACGAACCTGCTATATATCTGAATGCATGTTTTATATTGATACAGTCAATGCTGGAAGGACTTTTGAGGTGACATGAAAGAATATCAACACAGAATGCTAAATCTCTCCTTGTTCCTAATATAAGATACAATAAAGCTCCTACAGCTGTTCTCTATATGAAAATTTCTCTTTTTGGCTTTTCTTTTTCATTTCAGTTGGACATTTTCTTCACAACAGGAGTTGATATTAGCATACAATCTTTCATCTCAAATCTCTGAGGAATTTTTCTTGCTGATGGATTTTGATGCTTCAATCTCCAAGATGCTTAAATTCAAAGTCGAAGAAAGTACATTGCTCATTTGGTTATGATTCTGAATCTTGATTTAAATTCCTGAGGAAATTTTCAGATTCTTGCAGGTCTGTTGAAACGATTAAGCCACTATCTATATATATAAGCATACAATTAGTGGATCTTATGTATTAATCCAACCATCTTGACATAATTGTGATTTTTTACTGGAAAAAATAGCTCATAGCTGGAAAAAAAATTTTACTACATACATATATATTGTTACAAATTTGGTATTTAAAAAGCTAATGTTAGTATAATTATAAATTAACTGGTTTAAGTTCTCGCGCAGTGCAGCGCGTGACGAATATTAAAAGAAAGCTAGTGGAAACTGAAATTCAAGAGCCGTGCATATAAATAATAAAGATCTCTTTTTGAGAGAGAAAAAGTACTAGAAATTCTAGGAGTAATTGTAAAATCTTATAAAGAGGAAAAACATCTCGT